AGAAAAAAAAAAGTATGCGTAATTTTGTTTATATTTCTTTGCTTCGTGTCAAATTTAATATAGAGCCCACAAAAGAATATTTTCGCAATTTTTTACGATATTATTTCCCTCAAGGAAAAAATTCAGCGAAGGTTGCCTAAAATGTTGTATAATTTGTATGGTGATGTGTCCTTAAAAAAAACACAGTGTCGAAGTTGGCTTTTCAAATTCCGTTCCGTTCCAGAGTGCTTTCACTCAAAGATAAGCCACTTTCAGGTCGGCAAAGTGAAGCTGATTGTGACTGTATCAAGGCTTTAAACAATTCGGATCATCATGAAAGTGAGTGTGAGATTGGAGTGAAGTTGAGTATAACAAACACAAACTTTCAATAAAATATACTAAGCCTTTGACTGGTAAAAAAACTAGATATTTAAGTACTAAATGAATTGAAAGAAATTCACTTAACAAGTCGCTTGTGATACGCATCTTAAACCCAATGAATGGCATGCGTTTGTGAAGCAAATCATAAGTGCAAATAAAATGTGGATTTTTTCCAATAACGCGAATCGAAAACGATTATGGTCAAAGCATGAGCTGCAAAGGCTGATATTCAACAAAACAAGATAATGCTGCCAATTTGGTGAGATTGGAAGGGTGTGGTATGTTTTGAGCTGCTTCCAAGGAACCAAGAGATTAACTCGGTTGTCTACTGTGCACAACTGCCCCAATTGAGTACATACATCAACGAGAAGTGACCAGAATTGGTCAATGGTAAAGGTATCATATTCACCGCACATATCTTTGGTAAATCGCTAAAAACTAAGAGAGTTTGGCTGGTAATTGTATCTCTGACCTAACACCGTTCGACTTTCATTTGCTTCGATCTTTGCAGAACTCATCAAATGGTAAAAATATTGAAAATAACGAGTCTGTAAAATTGCATTTGATTCAGTTCTTTGCAGATAAAGACTAGAAGTTCTATAAACGTGGAATAATAATGTGGCCGGAAAAATGGCGAAAGGGCATCCAAAAATAATATATTTTCCAAGCAACAGGCAACCCAATATATAAGTTCCTAAAGTATGAATAATAGTAATCCACGAAATATTAACTGTTATTTTAATTCATTCTGCAATTTTTTATATTTCCGTTTTGGTTTTGCGTCACCAAATACACGACCTCCCTTGTACACTTAGGAATTTCCAATGATTTATGTCTAAATCAGGGATTAAACTCAATCGGTGACGTCAATCGAAGTTGAAACCAGTAAACTTCCGAAATAATGAATTATTATTTATGATTTGAAATTCTTTTGGTGTTGTTCTGTTTTTTTTTTTACCGCAAATTTAATGCTAACTACAATATATACACATTATTTACCGTTCATGGAATATATGTTTATTCATATTTACGTATGTATGAATGTGAGGAAATTAACCCAGAATATTTAACTATGCATATATAAGAATGAGCCTTGAACAAAACATCTCAGTTCGAAACGCAACTCGAAGCGAGACGACGTCTATAAGAAACCATTTACTTTACTTGGATCTTCTTGGGAAAATAGGATAATACATCAAAATGAAACTTTTCCTGGTGATGATGTTTCTAACATCTTTGATATTTCTGCAGTGTTACACCGTTCAAGGAATGCTATTACGGAGCATAATTGGAGATCCCGTTGAAGGAACGGTTTTAGCTCCAAATCAAGGAAAGCCCAACAAAAACTTAGTTGATTTATTTCGCTCAAGAATAAAGGCAGTAAACAAAAAACTCCGTTAATTAAATCAGTTTTTATTTACTAAGAAATGTAAACTCTCTGTAATGAGTATAATTTGTTCTGTGATTTTATGTACATACATACATATAAGTGAAATTATTTATACGGAAATCTAAACATCAATGCTTACTATTACTTTAGTACAATCTTTTAAGTCTGCTGTACATTAAGCTTCATATTATTTACATGAAATCTTACTGTTATTAAAATAATAATCGTTTTGTAATTTATTTTATGTAAATAAAAAAATTTTATGTTCTTAAAAAATTATGGTCTTCTCTGATTATTCAAAGTTTATTGAGCTATTAATTAAATTAATTTAAAAACCATCAGTAGGATATTTTATTTTAAATGAAATTGTAAAACGTGACCTTTTTATTTTTAATTTCCTTATTTACCATTTTGTTCTTGGTGATCGATTCGGTACGAGTCGGTTACGGTGCAGTTATATAGTTTTCCGTCAACGTTGTCACCTATGTCTCTCAGCAAAAGTTCTGCACTGCTCTCCTGTGTCCAAATTGTTTCGGGTTTTATGAATATTTCCCATATGCGGCGATTGAATCAAATAAGAAATACCTTCCAACCGGCTGTCCGACTTGATGACATATCGCGAAGTAATGAAAAATGAATCTGGAGGAAATGTATCGATAGTAGTGCTCGTCCGTTTTGAGTTTAGGACACCTGCTGAAGGGTGTTGCGTTAAGTGGAGCCTGTAAAAAGTATCCTAAGATTCATGTTAACATATCTAGCGATTCATATGTGGACCGACACTAAAGAAACACATCTGTTTACTGGGTATAGTAACCGAAGAGGAAACTACCTTAACGACACGTCAAGAAGCCAGCCTAAATTTCCTAATATAGTTGGATTCAGCCACCTAACTGTGAAGAACATTGCGCAATACAGAATGTTATAAAAGCACTCGAACTAAATGTACCCACAAAACAAAACCTTTCATCAGGTGTAACTCTTCTACTCCTTTCATAGCAGAGAAGAATGGGCGGAAGGTACAAGGTATTTTCAAACTTAATGACTAAAATTCTGTCTTCCGAGCAGGGATTGAGGACAACCACTTTGATGGAAAACCCTATTACGTTTCAGGCAGAGAACAAATTAAGGCAATTAAGATATATATATATATATATAATTTGCGCTTTGTAACCGCTAAAACGATTTCTCGCCGAGCTCCTCCTCCATTTTGTGATTTTGCATCTTGATGTTTTTCCAAGAAATGGAGGGACCTACAGTTTATATCTACTAAGCCGCCTGTAAACAGCTGACAGTTTTTTTTATGAGGAGCTTTTATTTCATTTCAGAAATTTGCTGAGAAGGTTTGATATTCCCTGTCGAGGGGCGACCGCAATTAGAAAATTTATCTTAATGTTCTATTTATATTAATTTTCTATAACCTTTTTGGATGTTAGTACAACACCGGGATATTAACCTCCGAATGGCTGTACGAAATGTCTAGAAGCGATGAAGAGGTAAGCAAAAGGGAATTTAGCATTCGTATGAGTGTATTAACGGAGTACATTGAGACATCATCCCTACAAATAAGGATCAGCTGAATGCAGGACATGCAGTGAAAACGACGAATCGCTGAGGTACTACCCTTGCGTGCATCTCGCTTCTCTCTTCCGCTTTCGGTATCTATCTCACGCCGCAGGTGTTGTTTTCGATCGCAAGGTTCAGACATAAATCAAACTTAAGTTGTTATGACAGAAAGAGCACTCAAAAAAAAAGCACGATTTACTTTATGAAAAGTTGAATGATCCCTATATTCGTACAAATACTTGCATGTATGTACATATATATCATGCATATGCATTTACATATTTACTAGAGTTCAAGATTTTGTTCGAACATTATCGAGGTGCTCGAGCCTTTGAGAACGATTATTCGCACGCTTGTTCAATGCTCAGTTATGGGGAACTTTCGAGCTTTTTCTAGCTTTTTGAATTCAAAATCGATCGTTTCAGAACTTTCTTCTATAACTTTAATTTCATTCATGCAAAATTGAAATTTGAAAAATTTTTAAGTATTATTTGAGCAATTGAGCAATGATTGAGTATGGAGCTGCTCACAGTGCTCGATACCCGAGTATCTAGAGGTCTAAAGGGTGACTTTTTAGAGCTTTAGAAAAGTTTTATAAAAAAACACATAAAATTCAGAAAAATGAATGTAGTTTACTGTTTGAAGATTATTTCATGGAAATGTGAACCGTGATTGCGCCTCCAATGGCCCATCCGCTTAGTCCAATTTTGCCATACTCTTTCCAGCGTTTCGGTCGTTAGCTCACGAATAAATGCTTCAATGATGTCCTCCAATGCGTCGATTGACGCGGGCTTGCCTGTATAGACATTATATTTAACATGGCCCCACAAAAAATAATCAAGAGGCGTTAAATCGCCCGATCTAGGCGGCCTATGGATCGGTCCCGAACGTGAAATCAAATGTTCACCGAACTTGCCTCTCAAGAAGACCATTGTTGCAGATGGCATGAGGCACCGTCTTGTTCAAACCACTTGTCATGCAAGTCAAGCCTTTATATTTTGGGCAAAAAAAGTTTGATACCATCTGACGGTAGCGCTCATCATTCACACATACGTTACGATTCGCTCATCTGGCTAATCTTCACTCCAAAATAAAAAATTCTGTTTATTTACGCACCCATTAAGCCAAAAATGAGCTTTGATAATAATAATTTGCAATCGTTGTTCGTTTGTGAGGCGATTCGTGTTTAAATTGTAGACCAAACTGAACATGTTTGACAGTGGCACAAAACACGAAACGAGCGTCAACTGTTTAAACCAGTGTTTCAAAAAAGATAACAGCTAAAAAATCACCCTTTAGTATATACATGAGTTCATGAGTGTAAGTAATATAAACAAATGATATATATAAACTGAAAAAATACTTAATATAAACAATGAAAATGAAAATAAGTGGCTTATCAATCCTCAATTTGAGAGAATGTTGAGAGAAAATTATGAAAACAAATATGTATGTATTTATATTTAATATTTTGATAATATGTATAAAACAAATAAAGCTGCTCTGTTATTGAATAAAGATTTCATTGCAGATGTATGAATATGATGTGTGTGTATGAGGTACCTCAAATCAAAGAGAGTTCAAGCACGCTGTGCTGATAAGATTGGCTCAGTTTAAATGGCAGGAAATACATTTTAGTTATGGTTAATACACAAAGCAATCAACAACACAAAATAAGGTGTAAACTTATCATTTAAATATTAAATTACGTATCAAAAAAAAAATTCAATAAAAATGAAATTAATTTATTATTTCGTTGCGTTGTTTATAATTTTCTTTGGCGGAATTGTGCACTTCCAAACCACTGTGGCCAGTGGAAAGGTGATTTTTTATACAAACAAAAATAAAACGGAGGAGAGCAGCATATTTGCGATACACCGGCGTAAATGTCGATACGTTATGGATCATCTGGGTCGGTGCCGTCAAGTAAATATCACTGGCAATACTACTGAGGGAGAAAATGTACTGAATTTTCTTGAATTTCTCTTTGCAGTTCGCATAAGTTCAGCAAGCAGTTTTAAGCGCCAACTGCCGTTTGAGTCAGCCCCTATACAAAGCTTAATGAAATGATATTTATCCCTCTAATTTGCTGGCATACATACATACGTATTTGTATTACATTTCTGGTTTGTATCACTGCTGAAATATCAAGTCAATAAAAAAAATACACACATGCAGTAAGGAAATTTGTGCTTTGTGAAAATTGTGTAATTCTAAAATAGCGTCAGTAAAAGAAAACAAACCGTAATTAATGAAATTGTAATTAGCATATGTGTCTTCTGTGGTTCAAAAAAATAAAATAAAATTAAGTAAATACTATATTTGAGCGTCTCCAAGCGCAGACAAAAATATTGTGTACGAGTATGATTCACTAGCGGTGGCGGAATTTCACCGCACTGCGAAATGTATAAAACTGCCAGCTGATAATATATGTACATACGCTTACGTATATAATAACAACCGTTTCTGTGAAAGAGCCCCTCTGTTGACTTTATGCATTTTCTAAATTTGAATTTGGTGTTTCTAAGTTTATTCAACAAATATATGGCGTCACTAATGATGACCGCGCGAAATTTAATTTCTATCAAACATAGCCCAGTAAACATAAATGTAAGCGTATATTCGGGACTTCGTAAACTGTAAAATATAGAGTCAGCCCTAAAGATACATCTGAAAATTATATTAATTTTACTTAAATAATTTTTTTTTTCAATATTTATATTCCACCGGTCACCGGTTGAAAAATATATTCTACCCAAAACTGCATGGTAACGATAAATGTCACGTTAATTAAAAAATTTCAATCGATTCGGTTAAAAAATTTTGGAAATGTCATCGTTAAAGCAATTATCGAAATAAATTTTATTTCGTTTTTAACCGAAACGAAATGCTGACGTTAATATTAAATCTTTAACTGATAATGTTACATCGTTAACAGATAGTGTTATATCGTTAACAGGTAATGTTATATCGTTAACATATAATGTTATATTGTTAACAGGTAATGTTACATCGTTAACAGGTATTGTTACATCGTTAACAGATAATGTTAAATTTTTCAAATATAATGTTATATCGTTAACAGTTAATGTAATCTTTAACAATAATGTTATATCGTTAACATATAATGTAAAATCTTAAACAGATAATGTTACATCGTTAACAGATAATGGTAAATTTTTCAAATATAATGTTATATCGTTAACAGTTAATGTAATATTTAACAGATAATGTTATATCGTTAACAGATTATGTTAAATTTTTAACATATAATATTATATCGTTAACAGTTAATGTCATCTTAGTTAATGTTATATCGTTAACAGTTAATTTAAAGTCTTTAACATATAATGTTATATCGTTAACAGTTGATGTTAAATCTTAAACATTTAATGTTATATCTTAAACAGATAATGTTAATTTCAAAAATTGAATTGTTGCTGTTATATCATAGCAAGCAGCCATTTTAAGATTAACAGTAACGATGAGTTTGCGCGGTTTCAGCAATAACAATTTCACTCCGTTTCGATAGCATACCGCCGAAACGAAACAAAATAGGTTTATTTTACATTTAGAAAAAAAAAACGAATTCGCATCGTTTCGTTAGTTGATTGGCACTGTTTCTGCCTCAAAATTGCTGACAGACTCCGCACGCTACTTTTTATGTCAAAAACCTTACATCTTCCTGACTATGTTTAATAACTAATTTTGTTTGATAGTGCCTAAAAGCGATCCTCAGGCCAATCGTACCCACATGCTTTGCAGTTGTGCTTGAAATTTTTCTTGAATATTCTGATGATCCCTGAAATTGTTTACTGGGTTCGTTTTTTTATTTAATTTTTTTTTTTTCGATATTCATTCACAGATTTACGATGTTTATTTGTCTAGAATTAACGCTCCGATCTACGCATGCCATTTATATACGAATTGCTACTTCAAACACACTTGATAATAAAATGTTGACAAATCATGAAATTCAAATACTTGTAAGAATAAATTGTACTTTAGCACTACTTTATTGCCGCACTTATGTATATACGAATATATGTATATTATGACATATGACTGAGGTATGCTCTGGAAGATCCCCCAAATTACATATGTACGTGCTCAGAGACAAGAAATTATGGAAAATGCTTACCACTTTGGTTTACCCAAAATGATCACATTTTATATGTGATCAATCATCATTACATTGTTATCATTTTCATATGTAGGAAATCATGAAATTTTTTGACGTTTTTTTTGTTTAACTTTTTAGCGTCATTATTAAACTCTCTTGACTGAGTTTTGGTTCTCTGCTGGAAGCTTTTATAAATCAGAGCAAATATTCTTTTTAGACAATATTCTTGGAATAAAATTCTCTTTTTATCTTTTTAACATATTTGTAAATGAAATTCCGTATAAAATATTTTTCTTGGTAAATAGTAATTAAAAAGCAATTTGCATCTTCTGACGTAAGAAAAGTTTGATAACAAAAGATTTATTTAGATAAAGCAGATTTTTTAAACAGGGTGCTCTAATTCTGGTATTTGGAGCAATGTCATATGTTAAGATTGCATTTCACATTCATAAATGATTTATTTTTCTAAAACTTTTAAAGTCTTCTTCTGCAATTCTACCTGAAAAGTAGACGCCAAGAGAATATTTCTAAAATTTCAAATGAGAGGATTGATGCTATCGAAATAAGATAGCTAGAATTTTGAGTCACAAAGAGTTTGGACAGAAAAATGCCCCATCAGACTTTATGTAAGTTGGCATTCGTATATCCCAAAATCTGAATTTTCCGATACGAAATATGTTCATATTTGGAACGACCATACACATACCCTGTGACGGTATCAAACATAACATCAATTTTATGAATCGACGTCTGGTTACAGTGGGCGTACAGATAGCAGACGGCCCAAGATTCCTCAAAGTGACATAGAATATAGCGAAGATATCACCTTTGCATAAAGAGGTAACTTTCCACAAACTCTCTGTGACTTTATGATAGTTAGAAAGGTATCGTCCTGGCCTACACAATGTGCCCTCTGTGTCAACTCAAACAAAGTAGAACTAGTGCTATTTACTAGGAGATACAAGTTCCCCGTTGACAACCAATCCCTCTTGCATGTTGTTGAACTTATGCCGGAACCAAAGCTCAGATTTCTAGGAGTCATCTTAGATAAGAAGCTAGTATCATCCCAAGATACGAGAAGGCTGCTTCTGGCCCCTATACATGCAAAAGAGCAATTGCTAAGTGACGAGGTCTATGCTCCAGGATTTGTCGTTGGATTTACGTACAATAGTAGTAAATGTAATACTCAATTTCTTCCCACTGGATTTGGGCATATATTAGTCGACAGCAATGACTGCATTTCGTGCAAGACAGTCAAATCAATGAACCACTAACTAAGCCCTGAGGACTCTGTCATGAAAAATATTGAATGAATACGATTTTATACCAATTTTTGGAGAACGCTCCGATTATATAAACTGATAACGACGACTACAGAACGGGAATTCCCAGCAGGGAAGGATAAGTAAGTAATTACCACACTCCAAATGATAGCCTAGAAATATACATAAGCTGAGTGGAGAGCTGGCGCAGGTGCCTTCACAGGAACCAGCTGTAAAGGTAAGATCATCTTCAATTTCAGCGACAGTCAGGCATTAGCAAAAGTACTGTCCTTCGCCGATCTCTACAGGAGATGGCCAAACAGAACATACTGTTTCTCACTGCGATCCCTATTAACAGGGACTTCTAGGGAATTTGTAAGGTGGATGAACTTGCTAGGCAAGTTACGACCAAGAAGACTCTTCTCGCTAAAGAACACATTGGTATGTCTCTTGCAATTTGCAAACTGCTTCTCAAGGAATTTACATATGAGCAATCTGCATCAAAATGGAATGATACTAAAGCTTGGTGCAAATTCAGACACACCTGGGATAGAAAGAGAACACGAGGTAAGTACTTCTTAAAAAGGGAGTACTGTACAGAAGTTGTAAGAGTAAAGAGGAGGAGAAAACGATCATCCATCTCTTAAACGAATGTCCTGCTTTAGGCGTGGCTAGGTTTCGTCATTTGTTTCCCTGTTGCTGAATAATCTATCGAAGATAGCCAACGTCAAAGTCATGTATGTTGCATAATAAAGCCTAAGAGTAAACTGTTTGTACCTGCAAAATGGATCTTATTCGGGCCTAAGTGAATACCATACTATACATCAGCAGCCACCACAACCAAACCTAACCCGGCATGACCTTACTTACAACTGAATTTACATGATTTGTGCCAAAAATCAAGGTTTTTCAATTTTCTGACGCTGATTGGAATCACATATCACCTATTATTGTTGAATAAGAGATCACTGGAAGCCGTCTAGTAAGAGATAGCAGACAGGTTAGTATTATATTTTTACAAAGTTGATTTGCTTGATCAAAAGGTCCTTATAAATATAACTGAATATCATCAGCGTAACTAAGCAAGTTGGAAAATATTCACACAATATAAATAGCATTAATAAAAATACTGAATACCAACGGACTTTGAGCCTTGACACAACCCTGAAGTAACCTGTTTGAGTTGCGATGTGTCGTTGCCAATTTATACTAGAGAGCTTTTCACAAGCCTTAAAGCACTTAAACTAAAGCAATAGTACGCTTTCAGCTTACAGCCTTATAACTTCTGGTTCACCATGTCTAACACTTTTGAAAAGTAAAGTATGCAAAGCAGAGTGAACTGCCTATGATTCCTGTTCGATCAGATATCTCCAGTGATCTTTAGTACAACAGTAATACGGCTGTGATTTTCCCTCAAGCCAGATTGAAGCGGGGATATTAAATTGTGCCTGTTTATGAATTCCTTTATTGGTTTACCCAAAAGCATCTTAAAGACTTTACACAGTGCAGGGTGGATGATTATAGGTTCAAGGATAACTCATTTTTTAGTGGCAGGTGGTACAGTGTCAAATTTCTATTGTAGAAGGAAACTAGACTTGGCAATAAAATAATTAATAATATGTATTAGTGTTCCAAGAAAGCAATGTATAATAGTATAATTTTAATAAATTTTCTCGGTAAACCATCATGTCTTGTTGCATTGAATGAAATATTTAATATACACATTGCCACATCACATTCCTTAAATAAAAGTTTAAACCTCAACATAAAACTAATAGTGTCGCTGGGAAGTGCTTAGCTTTGAAGAAAGGCATTATTGACTACATCTGCTTCTAAGGAACATTCGAAATTCTCCTTACAGAGGGCACCAAGTAGTTTAATGTTATGCCATTAAACTCTTTAATGAGAGATCAGACGATGAACCGATGAAAAAGTATCTAAATAGTGGTGTCTCTTGGGGAAAAAATTCGGAATTTTTACATATTTTTGTTTTACAAATCAAGGTCGACTTTTTAGCTATTACCTTTTTAGCAACATTGGTTTAAACAGCTGACGCATGTTTCGTGTTATGTATCATGGTCAAACATCTTCAGTTCGGTATATTATTTAACCATGAATCGTCTAACAAACGAACAAGGCTTGCAAATTATTGAATTTTATTATCAAAATGCGTGCTCTGTTGAAAAAGGTCATCGCGCGCTTCTTTTTTGGAGTTAAAATCTGCCAGAAGTATTGCAAGAGCTTAAAATTCATCCAAAAAAAGTCACAGTTTGGTGCAGTTCAAAGGCTGGTGGCATCATTGGACCGTACTTCTTCAAAGACGATGCCAGTCTTAACATAACTGTGAATGGTGATAACTACTGGGAGATAATATAATTTTTTTTTTACCCAAGATACAATAGCTTGACTTGCATGACGTGTGGTTTCAACTTGCACCGTCTTGCCACATGACATCCGTAACAATTGACTCATAGAGAGGCGAGTTCGGTGAACATTTTATTTCACGTTCGGAAAGAGTATGGCAAAATTGGACTAAACGGATAGACCATTTCAGGGCAGTCACGGTCAACATTTGGATGAAATAATCTTCAAACAATAAATTATGTGGACCGTACTATCGATTCAAATAAAGATTTAATGCGGTTTTCATTCAATAATTTTTATTAATTTTTTTTTTGCTAAAAATGTTAACCTTAAAGTTTTTCATGGGCATTTCTGCATCGAGTTACACTAACTTGCTTGAAACTAATTTTGTCAAGCTGTTTTGGTCCTCATTAATCTTCCCTCCTCCACTCAGTATTTTTTATCTTTTTTTAATTAAATAAATATAATATTATTAAATTTTTTCAAAAAGTATATTTTTTGATTTTTAATGAATCCGAGGACAGTTAAAATACAAAAAGAAAAAAATCTGCTACTTCTGGATCAAAAATAAAAATTTCCCATGACATTAAGGAGCCTGGTTTGCGACTGAGGCACCTCGCAACGCTTATTAGATTCAAGTGCTTAGCTAAAATAAATTATTGTCACCCTGTACTTGAGTATACCGGCCCAATGTTTGAAAGATAATTAAAAATAATAATATTGAGATAAAGTGAACATTTGTTATCAATATGTGTCGATATGTTAGGTGTTTCTTATTTTTTTTTTTGCTAATACAGATGCCATTTAACGTTCTCCTCAAAGCCCCCTACTATTTATATTGCTCAGACTTCGTTCTCGGGGTTCTCCAAACAAACATTTATGTAAGTGTGTGTATATACATACGTGTATATGCATATTTAGGTAGCCAACAACAATTCAACCACCTTCATTCTGATATCACTGCCGTTCACTCCCAAAGGGTGTCTTAAGTAGTGGCATGAGAAATCATTTATAATCAGTTTAAGACCGGCATTCGGCCAGCGATATAGTAAAATTTCTTCGGTTATACTACGTGCAATCGAAGTCAAAAAAAAAAAAAAAAACAGAAAAATATTTGCGCAAAATTAGAGTGTTAATTGTTTGCTAGGAAATATTTGATCAATACATAAATAGTAAGCTAAATCAGAGTGTTAGTTACTGAGATTTCTGCGGTTTAAGTGTACTTAATAATTAAGTTGAATATGACTGCAAAGGGTTTACAATTTTCTGTGTGGACATTTATGGTGCTCGGCTTGTTGGTGTTGAGTATACCCCTTGAGATCGAGAGTCGTCGTGTAATATTCTACGCGCCACGGACTATACAAATTTTCACATCACAAATTTTATCGGCGCGAGCGAAGGAAAAGCCCTGCACAAAGTGTCATATGCGCGATCATCGCGGGATTTGTCGACGAGTTTTGTCGTTTAACAGTAGTAAGTGTTGATTCACGTAACCTTTGAGCATGTAAGAAGAAATACTGTCAGCATTATTCTTATCGTCATGCCGTATAAACTTGACCACGTCATAGCGTATTTAATCTGTTGATAATAGTTTATTATTATGTTTTTTACTTGCAGATGGTGTTAAATGTTGAATTATTGCTGCAGTAAAATTGCTGCGTCAACAGAATCTCCACCGGTTGTATTTGGCGTGACAGAGTGCCAGTGAAACCGGGTTCGCCAGTGTAATCACAATAAGAACCATGAAAAATTTAGATATTATTTTAAGTATTTATTTAATTATCATAACTTTAAAGGATTATGAAATAAGCAAGCTTGGCTTGAAATTTTATGTAATTTAAGTAGTTAAAGAAATTCCAAAAAATTGTTTGCAAGGCAAGTTTCAAATAATTTCTTTTATTTATTTATTTATGTGCAATACAAATAAAAAATTTAAAAGAATAAGAATAAAAAATGAATTTTAATTTATAAAAATTAATGCGTTTTGATTTAACTTAGTTGAAAAAAGCTTTTAAAGTATTTCATTAAGTGCGTGGGTTGTTAATAGAAGCTTTAACAAGCTATTGAAAAACTATGATTTCATGCTGCCATTCATCAACTGCCGGTGTTAGTCATAGAATGCGATTGGATTTAGAAATTCAGCATGATATAAAATAGCAAATATTTCGAATTTTAATTTACCTGCAAAAATATGTATGCTTGAAAAATAAACTCAAAAAAATAAATAATTTCATTTTATTTCGGTGCGATACTATCGAAACATGAATAAAATTGTTAATGCTGAAAACGCGCAAACTCATCGTTAACGTTAATTTTAAAAAGAAGCGCTTAACATTATCTGTTAATGGTTTAATACTTACTGTTAACGATTTAACATTATATGTTAGCGAGTTTTCATTATCTGTTAACAGTGAAATATGATCTGTTAACAATTTAACAGTATCTGTTAAGGAATAAACATTAACGGTGGCATTTATTTTTGATAATTGATTTAGCGATAATTTTTCCAAATGTTTCAGCCGAATCAATTGAAATTTTTTGATTATGGTGAAATTTATCGAAACTACTCACCTTTAATTTATATGCATAAATAACACATTCTTTCTATTATCGTAAAATATCTTTAACAGTTGATAAGGTTTCTTATACATCACTGCCCTGTAAATTTCTGTGTTTAAAATGGAACCTAGTATTTCCGAACAAATTTTTCATGCTAAGCACCAATCCGGTATCAAAAACTTCCCATAGGTTAGATTTTAAAAATTCAAAATGGTAGATTCAATATGGTGAACATCGATGAAAATATGTTGGCACAAAATGCCAGCAGAATTTATGTTTTACCGACAACAAATAAATATGTTTTTCTGAGTATCACTAAAAAAAAATTCATCGTAAACTGAAAATTACATTAACTCAAAGCCCCAAGAGTGCATTGAGCACTTATTTAGTTATTCTCACCCGCATGCAAACGAAAGTTTCAAAACTAGTTCTTAGTACATATTTGAATTTAAAGCCACAATTAAAAGTTATTCAATATATTTTCTTTCATTACTTCAAAAAATTGTTTAAGTGGGTTAATCGTTCATTTTGTGAACTTTTTTTGGTTTTTAATTTTACTAGAAAAATATTCCCAAAAACTTTTTCTGTAAGGTTTAGCTTGAAATGATAAGTACGTATATTTTTTCAAAGCAAAATTAATATTGTATAATATGTTGAAAAAATAATTTTGGAATAATAATGAAATTTACATTAAATAAATTATAATTTTGAGGAAATATCGATCTAAAAATCTCTTTGCTGGCATGGTGCATATGTACATATTTTTTGGGAAATCCTTTGGCATATAGTGCAGTCTCGGCCGACGTGACAAGAAAGATATAAAAATCTATTTTGTTAGATTTTTACTTTTTAGGGATTTTACGATATCGCAGCGAAAGCAAGTATTTTTTTCATGGAAAACTAGATTTCGTGCATACTTTTTGGCGACACATACACGACTAACAATAGCATATTTTATTTTGTATATGTATTTTCTATACTTATATACATATATAGGTGTTTCATATATGTATACACTACGGTTCATGAAATGGTATCACTCTTATGCATGTTTTGTTGTTTGATAATTTCGTAAGCTTTTTGCAACCACGTAAATGATTTGTTTTCCTCTTGGCGATGCCAAGGAGGCTGTTCTCTTGAGAAGAAGTTAGCCCCTAAGTGTTACACACCCCTCCATCTGCTTTTATTATATCGAATTCTCGGTCACGGAATCTCTTCTCCACCACAAATCCGAAGGGCGTATTACATCCGAGGCATGTTTACTCATTTCATTGGAGTTGCTTTGAAGGTGGGGGGTCCCAAACCCGCTCTCCTCCACCACCCAACTCAGAGCGAGCACTTTCTATAGGACCTGCTTTCAGCGGTGTTTTGGTTGGTTGCCACATGACGACGCTCAGCTCAAACATAGATGGTAGAGAAAATAAAGTGAGTCTTACCACCCAGGGTTTCAAGAAATGAGAAGGAATTCCAGACGGTGGAACACCACCCACAGATCCGTGCTCAATTCCCTGTTTTGCTTGGCAAGCTTCTTCAAAATAGATTTCTGTTACAAAAGATATGCGTCTTCCTGGCTTTCAGGAATCCCACAACTCCGAAATTCTCTCAACAATTGGTCGAATGGCTGCGGCGTCTTCAATAGATTTTATTTAAGTATCGCCTTTTGAATCGAGCAATGTACATCTGAAAAATAGATCTCTTGGAAGGAGTAGAGCTTATGTGTTTTTCTGTGTCTAGCCTCCTTGGGATCTGGAGCCTTCATACCTCTGCCAAAGCTGAAACTGGAGATTTCCGTACGTATCAAATGGAGTTGAAATCACATATAGCGAGTATCACCTGGAGTTGGTACCAATAGGAGTCATCGGTAGTGTGTATCATCTGTAGTGGGTACCATCTGGGGTTTATGCTTTTCGGATCAGATTCTTGTCTTTATTCTCCTATTTCCCGACACGCTTACTAGAAGACCATCGGGGCACCCCATGGCAGAGTTTAATCATGATAAGTTTCTGAATCTGCTAAAGCTGAACTACTTTAGAGTATCCATTCGATGGCATATTTATTTTTAATGCACTGAGTGTGAATTTCGGTAAAATTTTTTAATTTCGAGGAAATACCGACGGAAGAGGCATGACTAAATTATTCAATTCAGATTGATAATCATACATATGTATATGCGTATCACACAATATTTTCACACTTTTTTATAATAACAATTATTAGAAATAAAATTTGAATGCCAATAGACATATATGTAGATACATACATACATATATATCTAATGTGGTCTTATACGCATCGAATATAAATGTCGAGAAATGATAAAAGTCTGACAACAAAACAATTAAATAAAAGAGGTGTGAACACAAAATACGAATATTAATTACTTTCATTATGGCTTATGTATGTATGTACATATATATACCTGGAGCATTCAAAATGCTTATTCATTGCATAGTAAACAACACATTTAGAATCTAACAGTTGTCAAGCGCTCTTACTCACCGACTAATTTAATTTTTTTTTTCTTTTTTTTTTGAGGAAACAAATTTTTTGCAAAAATATTTTATTGACACTTCATTAATAAATGACTATGTATATAAATATATAAGCAAATGACTGTGTTCGTAAGCTAAACTACGACATCAAAGTCTACGAAATTTTTGTAGAGTCTCGTCACTTTATCAGTTTGTTTGAAAATTTTGATGCCATCTGTAGTATGTCTAATATGCGCGTCTTTATTATTGAGATTTAAAGTGTTTCCAAACAGTAAAGTAGAAGGAGAGGCAACTAGTGGCATTTTAGAGTCGCTTAGTGTGACATAGGACTAGTGTTAATTTCCATAAATTACTCAGTTCACTGTCACAAGGAAGTATTCTAATGTAATATACTAACATGTGTGTGTATCAGGAATCTACAATGAATACTGACGAAAAAGATAGAACTAAATGATATCCATTATATCTTTATATTCATGCGCAGTCATATTCATATAAGCGCATATCCATTTTTGAAGTGTGAAAAGTTGTTCAACAGTCTTTCATGCTCAACAGCATTTATGAAGTTTGAATACTATGAAGATTTTCCACACCAAGTGTAATGGCTCTGGCTTAATCCGAATTGACCAAATCAGCGCTTGGAATGCTATAAAAATAAAACATAATTTTTTTGATGAAAGCGGCAACCGTGATCACAAACAATATTTAATGTCGAAAGCATAGGCGAAGAGAATATGAATCTAATAGAAACTTTACAGTGCTTCAAGTGCTCAAGGGGACCCTCCCTTGCGCAAAAATCAATCAAGGTTTGCATTTTTTTGTGGGAGAATGAAAAGGCGTACGAGTTTCCGGATTTTACTATTAAATTTGTTTATTTTTTGAAATTTTAAAACGGCAAAAAAAAATAGTCAAAATGCAAATGACGCATGGCCCAACAACTTCAGACCTACAGCTTGTTTTAGTAGACTGAAATCAAAAGTCGTTGCCATTACTTGAAGATCATGAAATTTTCTACGTCCTGAACCTTAATTTAAACAATTTTAACGATAAATTTATTGCATAATTCTTATCTTAGGTTCAAGATGTATAAGAAACAATATACTTTGAAACAGTTTTTAAATAAGAGTAATCGGACGGATAGATCAAGCAAGGGCTTGAAGTTAGATCGGAAAAGTTTTTGGAAAGTTCACAGCGTGCGTTAGGCAGGTGTGTTCTAGAAGCTGCTATTTGAAAAATATTCATCGTATTCGAAAATCCCTTATCCAACATACCTATTTTGCGTATAAAAATCGTTTTTTTTTTATCAAAAATCTGTGTAGAGTCCTCTTCAAACTAAACAAATAAAGCCACTTGGCATTGGGCCAGCACCTTACAGTCGACGGAAATTTTGCATGATGGTTAGATCAGGATGGTCGTTACTATATAATTTTGTACTTATCTCCCAATTTCATGGAGCAAGGTATGTGATTTAAGCCTATATAGTAAGCAGTAATCCATTATTTTTGCAATAGCTGGCTTTGGTGATCTGTATTTTGCGTTATATGAATGCGATTGGACTATGATAGATTGCGTTAGAAAGTTGATATTTCATACTAAATAAGATTAAAGGTGAAGTGTCGATCACTTAACTCAGTAGTGTTTGATTAGGGGTCCTATATTTTATATTCTACATTTTTTCTTCGATAAAGACAAAAACGCATGTCAGACAGCTGAAAATATGAATTGTGTTTATAGTCCTCATACTGTAACAGTTAATAATGTGCAATTTTCATTTCACTTATTTCGTTCCGGTAATTTTGATGTAAAAGAACCTTAACGGTGCAGTAGGCCAATTATCAGAAATGTCTAGTCTGAGCCAAACATTGCATAAAAACCAATTTGGAACCTCTTAAAATGGCTGGGTACACAAAGAACCTAGATGTATGGGTGTCACATGAACAAAAGAGAAAAAACCTTAATAACCGAATTTCCATCATTGCTAAATCGTAACAAAATCGACCCATTTCTGAAGCGTATAATGGATCGCAAAAACTAAAACGATCGTCGGCGAAGACGGCCAGGAAGATTTTGTAACTTGTTTGTTGAGATTGCTGGAAAATTAATCACCATGAGCTACATCCCTACGAAGAAGCTTTTATTTTGGACTTGTACTGTCAGCAATTGGGCCACTTGAAGGAGACAACCAGAGGCGCCCAGTTTTGACCAACAGAAGGGAAGTTTCACTAGGACTTCGACAGCCCGCACACATCGATAGTTATTCTCCAGGGGCTCCGAAAACTTGGTAAGGATATTACGATACATCCACTTCATAATCCGGACCTCACACCAAGTGATTTTTATAGGAGATGCATAATGACATTAACTTCCATTATGCAAAGTGTGTAAATTTGACATAAATCGGCTAATTCTTACTATGGGAAATAAGGCCTTCAATTGAAAGATTAAATTGTGGTTGGTTTGCTAGTTGAGCAATTTATTATGTCAATTGAATCATACAGCTCTGAAAAATGAACGACGTCTACACATTCATAGTGGTTGCAATTTGTACTAATAAGTCCTGCATCGTTGTGCGTATGGGTAGATGGGAGCAGTGGCCTGCAAAAATTTGTGGAACATATGGTCGCTTGAATTAAACCAAAATCTTATCCTGGTCACCAACTATTGGATCAACCTGCGTCTCGCTATCACGCTGTTGTGAGCCGTTGATTGCTCGTGTTTAAATGATCACAATTATTTTACGAAGAGGAATAAGATTTTTACTCGCGTACAGAAAATGTATGAAAAAGAAATTGAGTCAGTTTCATTTCGTTGTCTAGCACTCCTGGTACATAGAGCATGCGCATATGTTGAGAATATACGTATGTACGTATGTACGTATGTACTCCTTTGTCCACGTGGAGTATATATTTCATGCGTGAAAGGAGTAGTCGCAGTATTTGACTACTCGACAGAAAACTACAAGAGTAATTATGGGTGAGGCAACTACGCAATGATATTAAAAGTTTGTATAGATGGTTATGTATAGCATGCTTCCATATCTGTGGCACATACTATATACACACATCTGGTGCTGAATATATCAAATAAAGATTGACAACTTATGGCTCATTTATTTTTTTTATTTTATGTATAGAGTAGTAAGTACGACGCCTTTTACTACTTCTATTGGGGTTTATATCACAGCGCTTACAATGCATATCTGTATAATGAAAAACAATGTAGCTTGGTATGTAAGAGGCCACCTTCTATTTTATCAACACCTTATCTAAAGAATTTACGAGTTATGTGAATAAACGTACATGGCTCTGACACAGTGGCGTCGCAATTAATGTAATTTTCAATGTATAGGTGAGCTGTAATTAAATAGAATTTTTCAATAAAAAAAAGAAGTGTTGTTTTCGGCCGTGCTGAATGATTTATACCATTCACTCAAATTTTTCCAAATTTATTTCTTTATAATATAAGATTAAATTTCAATTCTTGCAGCCAAATAAATCGGTTACTTGAGGACTATGTATATGTTATTGTCTTCCGAGTTTTATGAATGTACAGTTCATTATACATACATGTGTAGAGACCACATTTTATATTCCTAGAAGCCATTTTCGACAAATGGTGAATATATTACAAATTACGCATTTTAATTTTCACTAATATATTTCAAAAACTGTGAGACCACTTTGCTTTTAAACAGACGGGGTTCTTCAATAAGAGTTTGTTTTTTTGAATAGCCTGCTTATTCCTGTAGATGTCACTTGTGATTAAAATTCTCTAAATAAATTTCATCGAAAAACCATCTGGACTTCTGAGGCCAATTATCACCTCGACTGCTACGTCAATAAGCAAAACTCTCGCATCTGGGGATCGGAAAATCATAGATTTACTCTTGAAAAGTCTCTCCATTCTCAACATGTAATTCTTTAGTGTCGTTTATGGTACGGCGGGATCATTGGACTTTACTTTTTGGGTCTGGCGCAACAATTCAGTTGGGAATTGAACTATCGAGAGAAAATTTGCTTTCAACAAGATGGTATTATGGTGCCACACCAGGAACGAAACCATCGATCCTTTTAATGAAACGTTTCCGGACCATTTTATCTCTCGAAGAAGTGATCGAAACTTGCCACCGAGATCTTGTATATTAAAACCTTGCGACTACTTCATTTGGGGCCATGTGAAAGATAACGTCTCCGCCAACAGAATAAACGTCGTTTAAAAAAAAAACGGTGGAATTCGTAAGGTATTAAGTGACTACTATACACTTTGGGATTTGGCGATGGAAAATTTCATAAAAAGGACACGATCCTGTAAGCGTAGACGTGACGACGAAAATTTTGCTGAAATTGTGTTCCATTCTTAATTGCGTATATTCCTCCTTCAATTTAAATAAACATCAGATCATTTAATTTTCAATGATTCAACTTTACTTTGAATTTCAAAACAACGCCTCTTATTGGAAAACCTTGTATATTTTAGACTATTTCAATTTCATAAAGGGTATAAAATTTTTGTAAAAATTGTTTAAACACGTTTTATACCATATAAGACCCCTTTATAAGCTATTTAAAATTTTACTTTTATTTTTATTTGGAATTTTGAATTTAAGAAATCTTTGTTTGTTCCAGCGGTCTTAAGCATTTTCTTCCATTTTATTATTAGAAGATAAGTTTGTAAATTTAGTTTCCATTCCGTCACCAACTTCAACTTTAATCTTATCAGCATGAAATTGTTTGGGGTGATAAATCCTAACGCCGCTCGATAGCCGGCGACAGTTAAACTTACAAATAGCAAAAATATTTCATGTCAGCAATCAATATAAGAGAACGCGCGAGCAATTGAAGTAAGACGACGCAGTAGGTAACGATATCAGCGCTTATTAGTTGTAGCTCAGTGTCGCTTTATCATTTCACACCTTCGAATATTGAAATATTATAACGCACGAGCTTTCTATTGTGTCGGCAACGTACTGTTGTGTAAAAAAACAAGAAAACTTTACATATATTGTAAATTTAAATTTACGGTATATAAATTAAAAAAAAAAAATATTTGAGGAATTCAAAAATGAATAAAACTGTGATTTTATCCATTATTTTTGGATTTGTGCTGATCATTTCCAATTTCTTCACACCGATTGAGGCAAACAAAGTGATATTTTTTAATCAAAAGCCAACGGTGCAGAAAAGTCAACTGCTATCCACACAAATAATGTCGAAACCATGTCCGATGGGCAAAATGAGAGATCATCGCAATCGTTGTAGGCGTGCAATAATATTTAGTAGTAGAAGTGAGTATGAAAAGTGTGGTTCACTAAAAATATATTATATTTAAATTGCAGGAAATACAAAGCAATCATTTTTTTTGTGAAGTTGAAGTTTATTCAACGAACGGTCTTCAGTGTAAATCAGTTGCTATTTTAATCCAAAAATTTGTGTTCAAAATTAGTGAATATTATTTTTTATGAAAGAATTTCACATCTTCATTAAACTTACCAAATGTGAGACTATTCAGTGTTAAAACTTAAGTGAAACTGATTTAAGATGCATTTTCAGTCATTATTCTGGAGAATCGTTTTTGGCTTTTAGATTTATTTGGGGAATATAAAAAATAATGACAACCACAGTTTGATTTTAGTGAAAATATCATAAAAAAGCAAGTGAAAATTTCTGTAATCAAATTGAGCGAGGAATCCTTTGTACTAAATTTTAAATCTCCACCACAGCCCAAATCTATACGAAACTTCAAGCAGAGTGCCTTAAAAATGCAGATACTACAACAAATAAATTGCAAAAATATTTTCCAAAAGACTTCTAAATTATTAAGCCTTTAATGTGAAAAATGTTATTATTCCATTGCTTACTTAAAGCGGGCGCAGCCAGTCTTGACCTCCCTTAGAAGTGCTCGTACTCGTAAGAGTAAATAGTTTTGAAAATTTGTTCCTGAGTTGACTAATCGATATATTCACATCGAAACTCCAGCAAAGACTCAGACAGAATTTAGGACGGTTTCAGTATCTATGACATATTCCTGATATTAATGATATTTTCAATTCATTTATTATTCAGTCTATGCTTTCATAAAAACCTTACAAACTAAATACATAAGCTTTAGACAGCAGGGGAAAATACTAGTTGTTAACTAGAATGCAACTAGTATGCAGTTTTGACTAACTACTAGTACATATTCCGTCAATTTCCCCTGAAAGTAACTGGGCGATATCCTAAGAGCTGACAATTGTCCAACTGCGAATCAGCTCCATACCAGGTGTATACTGGTTCATTTCGGCTTGTTGAATATCAACTTCACCGTAAAATAAATAAAAATAATGAAATCAAAATGTGTTTGCTTGCTGCGAGAATCGAAGGGGGAACCTCACGCACCACAGTGATGACATCTAACCACTAGGCTATCGTTACGATATACAGATCAATGAAATGCGCGCTGTTCGAGAGAATCGTTCCGGAAATGGAACTCAGCAGTGACGTACTCAAAACAAAAAAATGACTGTTTCACCAGAAATAAAAACAATAAATAATTATATTGTCTTTTGGGGTATGGTGCGAAAGTGACAGTCCTTGGCCGCATACAAATCCGTGTCTTTCCTATATAAAGATCCAACTGTTGCGGGAGCTTTTGACTTTTAGTCGCCTCTTATGATTGGTATGCCTTAATGCTGGAAAATTCTGCTACACAATAAGAAACTAGTATGATTTCATCTTCAAAATAATTGTATTTAACTAAATCAGTTGACGTCCTCCTCATATAAAACTATTTATTGAGATACATTTACAAATTAATGATATATGAATTTAGAGAGAGAGAGACAAAACGAGATCTCGGGAATGCAAAAACGGATAATGAGAGCGCGAAGTTCTATCAGGAGCATGAAATCTGATTTGTTCAAGCCTTTGAAGATGGCATAAAGAAAAATTAATGACTCGATAGAACGTCGAAGTGTAAATGATTTAAAAATTATAAGCATACACTGGAAGTATAAGAAGGTAAGGGATTGGGGATATGAAGAGGAGCGAGAGCAAAACAAATAATTCTACGCTGGTCGGTTTCGAGTTTAGAGGAATGCGTTGCATAAACTGAATTCTAAACTGAGATCCAGCTTTAAAAGGTATAGGGAGTTGAAAGGAGTTTTACGTGTTTTGGGGGTCTTTAAAATAACCACCATATCGCCGTAGGAAAGAAATTTGAAATAAGCTTTTGGAATAATACAGGTGATTAGATTAGCGAAGAAAAACCCAGCATCAAACAATACAGAACAGAAGACAGCTTAGTTTTCAAGGAAATATCAAATCGCTCTGAGCCGATTTATGCACATTGAAAATATAAAGTCAAAACAGTTTTTGATATTCAGGGACCAATTATTCCTAATGCTCCAACTAGCTGAGTTGTTAAGAATCTCCTGTAAAATTAAAGCATCAGAAATACAACTAAAGTAAGAAGTTGGAATATTTAAAGCAAGTTCCCATGTCCCTTATAAAAATATGTAACAATAAAGGACCAATAATGTTACCTTGATATACCCCAAAGGTGGCTTCAAAGGCATTCAACAAAATATAATCTATCGCTGAGATATGATCCAACCTATGATAGAAAAGCAGAGCTAATGCAGAGGACATTAAGTTAATAAAATGCTATGCGGGACAGTATCGAAGGCTTTGGAAAATAGGATTATTTTGGCTTGCAGCAGCTGTTGTAATCAGCCGACCTCAGTTTCCTCAGCGTATTTTCTATTACGGACTCAATCGAGTCGAGGCGGGTTCCGCGGAGTGGTAACTTGAGTTTTGAAAACAAAAAAATCGCTCGGGGTCGAATCCGGTGATTACAGTGGTTGATAGATGATACTGAATGAGTTTTTGATCTTAAAATCGTTCCAAACAGCTTGGTTATTGGCATTATTGTTATGAAAGTTTCCGGAACCCTCAAATGATACTCTTTATTGACCATCTGTCCTGCTGGAACGAGTTCATTATGAACCAAACCAAGAAAATAAGTAAAAAAGAACAATTTCCGGAAAGTTTTATATGTGTTTAACATACAAATTTATTTGAGCTTGAAATCGCACAAACTCAACTGATTACTACGCACAAGGCAATAATCGCTTTAATACGCTCAAAAATTTCATAAAAGACTTGCTTCATTGCGTCTTTAACCAAAAAAGAAATATGATGAAATAATCCTTATAACTCACCGGTAGCTATTAGAGAACTGGTTAGTATTAGAATTTGACAGATCTCTTTTATGTAAGAGATGCTCAAATATTGAAACGTTGTAATTTCGTTTTGTTAATATGAAAAATAAATTTACCAAATGGATTATGTTTCGTTTCGGCGCTATGTTATAGAAACGAAATGACGTTGTTAATGTTGAAACCGCACAAACTCATCGTTTACTTTAGCATTTAACATTATCTGCTATTGATTTTCACATTTTCTGTTAACGATTCCACATTTCCTGTTATCGATTTAACATTATGTGCAAACGATTTGACATTTTCTGTTATCGATTTAAAATTATATGCTAACCATTTAATATCACCCGCTAATGATTTGACATTTTCCCTTAACGATTTAACATTATCTGCTAACGACTTGACATTTTCTGTTAACGATTTCATATATCCTGTTATCGATTTAACATTATCTGCAAACAATTTGACATTTTCTGTTAACGATTTAGCATTTCCTGTTAAGGATTTAGCATTATTTGTTAACGATTCAACATTATTTGTTAGCGTTTAAACATTATCTGCCAACAATTTCACATTTTCTGCTAAAGATCTCACATTTTCATTTAACGATTTAACATTAACAGCAGCATTTCGTAACTTACATAAACGAAGTCAATTTTACTTTGATTACCGCTTTAACAATAACATTTGTAGGTATTTTAACCGATCGATGAATTTTATTGACTAACGTGAAGTTTACCGTTACGATGCAGCCTTGATAGCTATTAATGGTAAAAATTGTCATTACCAAAATCCCATTTTTTATTGGCTTTTAATTTTCTTTTTCAGTTTATTCAAACTAAATTCAATAAAAGATTTTCTCAAAAATATGATTTCTGCAAATTTTGCTAAGTAAAAGACTTTCTCTAAAATATCTTAATTAAATATGTGTAAATCAGCACATAAATTTAGACTTCATGGTTGACAGAAAAAGATATTAAGTCTTGAAAATATATTACAAGATTCTTAATTAATCGTATGTATGAACTTAAACTTAAAAAAAAAAATATTGTTAATTTCGAATTCATATAAAAATATAAAATTTTAATTTTGACTGCTAAAATAAAACACTTTATGTAAAATAATCTTGTAGTCATATACATAAATATGTACATCATATAATACACATGTATGTAAGTTATCCTACATACATATATAATAATATAAACAATCATTGGAAATTTATTTGAAATATGCACGTAATAATTAAATTTAAAAACTCAGAGAATAAACATTTTTATCTTTATTTAATTTTTTTATTTACAGAGGCAAAGTGAGAACACAAACGATAGCGCGCAATCGTTATCAAATGGCACGCTTGAAATAATCACTTTCGAGTGTATCGAATCAGTCGAATGTAATTGGCAAGAAGGCATGCCGATTCGTGGTCATTCCTCGCAGGCGCGTAGATAAGGCGGCGAAAACATATGTATATATGTACATATTATATGTACTTAGTTAGATAATTAATAAAATAATGTATATATAAGTTATTTTCAATATTCGTTTCTTTTATAAGCTCGATAATTGTTTAAGTGAATGTGTAAAGTATGTGTGTGTAATTAATTGTTTGACTGTATTTATGTTTGTGAATGTTATATAATATGTTTAGCATGATTTGTAAATATATATTTGTACATATAAACATATCTATTTCGATGCATAAATTGTTGTATTTTTATTATTTAAGTTTTCTTATTTTCAAGTTATGTTACTTTTGCTAAATACAAATAAAAACGAAATTAAAAAAGCGTGAAATGCTTTACCCACAATTATTTATGACATTTTTTATTTACTAGAGAATTTGACGCAAAGCACGTTTCACTGTACTGAACGGACACCTGTTCTATGCATTTACTACTTGAAAATTTACTTGCGCGACACCAAGTATTTTAACGTTCATCGAATCAAATTGAACACAAATATTTTGATTTCTTGATTTTCTCCTGTGTACTTGTTTTTATAAAGGATTATCAAAATCGATTATTTTATTTTATTATGAAGATTATTTCTTTCAAATGCTGGCGCGGCTACGTCTCGGGTAGTCCATCCGTTGAGTCCATTTTACAGTGACTCGATAACAGGCGAATGACACGTTTTACTCTAAGACCTGAATCGAAGTTTAGACTTTATAATTTACATATCCCCGCTGGAAAAAGTCTAACAGTGTAATATCACATGATCTTGGTGGCCCAATGGCCGGCCAAAAACGTAGAATTATCCGCTCACCGAAGTGTACTCTCCATATATCTATTGATTGATGAGATCACTGACATGACGTGCTTCAATATCCACTGATGGTTACGTTCTCATTGGCAAAATTTTTGAAGAAATATGAACCGATGATTTCACGAGCCCACAAATCAAAAGTAACCAGTATTTTTTGTGGATGATATGACAGCTTTTAATCTCTCCAGGTTGCTCTTGCTGCTATTTGAACTGCATTAAGGCCGCCCCGACGTTAAAGCCACCAGTCATAATTTTATATATTTTCACTTATCCTCTGCTCTGTATTGCCGCTGTGTTACATGACAGAAGGATCTACATGTCCTCGTCCTTGTCTCGCGGGACGGCGGTAATACCATCCTTTAGTCTAATGGGGACATCAACCAGCTACGAAGAGACTACTTCGCGATTAAGGCATCGGATATTAAAGGTTAATTCCCTTAAATCATCGTACTTAATTGGCCAAAATATCTGTTCATATATTTTAAGGATTTCGCGATTGTGTAACCATGCGACCTTGAAAATCCCTTTCCCTTCTCCTCTCCATTGATGTATTTGACATTGCTCTGGCTTCTTTAGTTCGCCTGCTGCGTCGTGTTGAGTATACGTGTGTTCGTGGTGCTCGTCACAAAAATGGAAAAACGAAATGAAAAGCAAATCGTCGCGATGAAATTTTACGTCAAATTGAGCGAAATAGCTTTGGAAACATACGCTAAAATTGGTCGTGTTCAAGTTTTTCGATGGCATAAACAGGTTAGAGTGGGGTGCGAGAGCGTGGAATACGAGGCGTGGAAAACAATGATTATTGCCTTTTTTGATAGCCGTGGAATCGTCCACAATGAATTTCTTCCACAGGGACAAACGGTAAATCAAGTCTACAATCGCCAAGTACTCGAAAGATTGCGAAAACGAATCAACAGGGTGCGCCTATACATTGCTTGTAACTGGATCCTGGATCCTTACATCGCCCTCAGCATACCCCAGTATTTGGCCTATAAAGGGATCGCCGTGTTGCAACAACCGCCTTATTCGCCCGATATGTCATCCTGTGACTTTTTTTGTAGCATAAAATCGGTGGTCAGAGGCGTTCGGAACGAGGGTACTCGCGGAAATCGCAGTCAAAGCGTTTCAGAAATGTTAAGAAGCATGGAAAACTCGCTGGAATCGCTGTATACCTGGCCAATGAGACTACTTTGATGGGGAAGGCAGGGTTGTAGAATATTTTTGAAATGTACGGTTTTAATGGAATCAGTCTCATTACTTAATTGTCACACCATGTATTTGGAAAAATCTCCCTCCGTTGTGTTCATCAATAATTAACGCAATTTTTTCATTTATTTGTTAGGTGACATGGTTTAGGCTCATTTTAAACCGTGAGCGAAAGAAATAGTAAACTGATGATGCTAAGCAAGCTCAATGGAACGGATTTGATATCAGTTTTAAAAAGTTAAGACTCTTTTCTTAATATTTTAGTGCAATTTTCTTGGGATATTATTCCATTCCCATCGCAAAGAAAGTTTCATTTCTGCTTTTTATTATATGTACGTATAAAAGAATATTTGGATTATTTCCTTCGAGTATTTTTTTTAAAGCTAGAGTCATGATTTACCTTGCACGAAAGGGAGGTGGGTAGTTTTTTGCTCAGACTAGTATGAAAAAAAATTCTTTATAAAAGATTCGGACTTCACTTCAGTTATTGGTAACAAATAAACCGAACACTAATATTCACATGCTCGCGAACTCAAATATAAAATTTATTACGAGGCTTTTTTATTAAGCAAATCGGAGCGACTATTTTCCGATTGATTTTGAAATTCTCTTGATAGCCCGTGCATACCACCACTTTTTGTATAACTATATATAATATATTAGGTTGTCAAATATCTCCCTTTCGCTTTTTTGTCCTTTGAATTTCGCGGCTATGTACAAAGCGCTACAGAGCTCGTATCTGGCAACACTATACATAATTTGAAAGGTCTTGACATAACCTACAAAACAACGCTATGTATGATTAGTTTGGATATTGCGTTCAACAGTTATAGACGTGTAAACATGGAGTTCACTAACACCGAAATTCGCGCTAATTTAAAGTTTTCCTTCGTTAAAGGTAAATCCGCTAGAGAAACGTTCCGTGAGATTAATGGTGTCTTGGCGGATGGTATTCTATCACTTCGAACCGCGGAGGAATGGTTTCGACGATTCAGAGCCGGTGAAAACGACACCATGGATAAACCAGCCGGCGGAAGACCTGTGACGACGAATACCGATCAAATCATGGAATACATCGAGTTAGACCGGCATATGGCATCTCGTGACATCGCCCAGGAGATGGGAGTTAGTCACCAAACCATTTTGAACCATCTGCAGAAGGCTGGATACAAAAAAAAGTTTGATGTTTGGGTGCCGCATAATTTGACGCAAAAAAACCTTCTGGACCGAATCAACGCCTGCGATATGCTGCTGAAACGGAACGAACTCGACCCATTCTTGAAGCGGATGGTGACTGGCGACGAAAAATGGATCACATACAATAATATCAAGTGAAAACGGTCGTGGTCGAAGGCCGGTGAATCGTCCCAAACAGTAGTCAAGCCGGAATTGACGGCCAGGAAGGTTTTGCTGTGTGTTTGGTGGGAGTGGCAGGGAATCATCCACTATGAGCTGCTCCCATATGGCCAGACGCTTTATTCTACCATCTACTGCGAACAACTGGACCGCTTGAAGCAGGCGATCGACCAGAAGCGTCCAGAATTGGCCAACAGGAAAGGTGTAGTGTTCCACCAGGACAACGCCAGACCACGCACTTCGTTGATGACTCGTCGGAAGCTACGGGAGCTCGAATGGGAGGTTTTATCGCATCCAATATATAGCCCGGACGTAGCGCCATGTGATTACCACCTGTTCCTGTCCATGGCGAATACCCTTGGTGGTGTGACGTTGAACTCAAAAGAGGCTTGTGAAAAGTGGCTGTCCGAATTCTTCGCAAATAAGGAGGGGGGCTTCTACGAGGAAGGTATTATGAAGTTGCCGTCTAGATGGAAACAGATCATCGAACAAAACGGCGCATATTTTAACTAAATCCGATCACTGTAACACTTTTTATAAAGCATTGAATGAAGAGCAAAAAAGCGGAAGGGAGATATTTGACAACCTTATATACCACTATATATAAATTTATATATATATATATAAAATACACAATTGGCGCTTTGTTACCGCTACAGCAATTTTACTTCAACCAACATATCAGAAATACCATCGGAGGGGCTGACATTCCCGATGGATTTTTTCGAGAAGCATTTATTTTGGGTCAGAAATACCCTCGGGGGTCTTGAAACTCCCGACCGAGCGGCGACTGCAATCAGCAAAATCAATTTTCTATTATGTGGACGTTGGTTGAACCAAGGATTGAGTCCGCTCGGCATTTACGGCTGAGTCCCTTTATGAAATTCTTAATTCATTCGGTTCATTAACACTGAAATTTTTCGATGATATTACAATTTAAAATAGACTGCATATTTACTTACAAATTACGAATCATTCAAGTATTTGCGTAAATTACTCAGACACACCGGAATGCGCGCAATCTCAGTTGTCGCCAATAAAATTCAAAAATTCTATTTATATTGTTACGTCAGGGCGTCAGCATATGAACTTTGATCTTCAAATAATAATTAAATATGTATATTACTTTGAATGTAAATAAAAATCGATACATTGGTGGAGTGATATAAAGGAATAGCCAAAAAAAAAAAAACACATATAAAGATACGGTCATAGTTATAGTGAATTTCGTAAAGGAAATACAAAGTCTGAGTCAACGTAACTATCGCATGAATTGTCCCATTCAACAAGTGTAAATACGATGGGGTTTTTATTTCACCGCAATGTACTCGTGAAATGATTTTCAGGGAATACGTTTATTTCTGTACTATGAGCGTCTATTTATACGTCATGAGGTGAATTATTGCAGACATAACATACATACATACATATGTGTGTGTATATTATTATAGTACTTTGTCAATAAGTATGTCCGATATAAAAGTTTGTTAACGTGAGTAATGCCCCAGATGGCAAATCGATTTAGTCATATCTGCTTGTTTTCCAACAAATATTTTCGGTAAAAACTGAAGCTGAATCCGATCGGAAACGTTTTTTAAATTTTTTAGTGAACTGCAATCAATTACGTAATTTCCATTTTCTTGGAGGACCTTTCACCATCTTTCGGGCAGCATCCCTATTCCACGCTCATAGAGCTTCTGGCCTTTGTCTGCAAAGAACTAAACCAAGTGCGGTTTTATAGCCTCATCATTGCCGAAACTTTTACCATTTAATGAGTTCTCGAAAGATCGATACAAATGATAGTC